AAATCGAAAAAACCCTTAAGTCTAAATATGTCATTAATTTTTTTTGAGCACCTTAACGACTTCAAATGAAAAAACTCAAAACTAGAAAGTCTATAATTTTCATATAAAATTATCTTTATTTAATTCCTAAAAAAAAGATATGATTTTTTTTCTTGTGTGCCATTAAAAAAGATCGCAATGCCCTATGAGTCATTTGAAAAGTTCAATGATTTTAGTAATCCTTTGCTCCAACTTTTTATGCCCTCCATACCCTTTGCTTAATCGGTTTTGGGCTCTAACGCCAATCAAGCTGCAGTGTGAAAAAATCAAAAAACCCTTAAATCTAAATATGTCATTAATTTTTTTGAGCATCTTAATGACTTCAAATGAAAAAACTCAAAACTAGAAAGTTATAGATTATAATTTTCATATAAAAATTATCTTCATTTAATTCCGAAAAAAGATATGATTTGTCTAAGATATATTAATCATATTAAATCATATTTTTTTACGGAATTAAATGAAGATAATTTTTATATGAAAATTATAGATCTCGACAAGATCTACAACTTTCTAGTTTTGAATTTTTTCATTTGAAGTCGTTAAGATGCTAAAAAAAATTAATGACATATTTAGACTTTAGGGTATTTTTGACTTTTCACACCTGTAGTTTGATGACGTTAGAGCCCAAACTGACGGTAGTGGCATGGAGGGCATCAAAAAGTTGGAGCAGTGACGCTGAAGACCGCGGAACTTTTCCAAGAACATTCCTTGTGTGCCATTAAAAAAGATCGCGATGCCCTGTGAGCCCTTGGAAAAGTTCAGCGGTCTTCAGCGCCACTGCTCCAACTTTTTGATGCCCTCCATACCACTGCCGTCAGTTTGGGCTCTAAGGTTGTTAAACTGCAGGTGTGAAAAGTCAAAAAAACCTTTAAGTGTAAATATGTCATTAATTTTTTTTGAGCATCTTAACGACTTCAAATGAAAAAACTCAAAACTAGAAAGTTATAGATCTCGTCGAGATCGATAATTTTTATATAAAAATTATCTTCATTTAATTCCGAAAAAAAGATATGATTTTTTAAGATATATTAATCATTTAAAATCATATTTTTTACGAAATTAAATGAAGATAATTTTTATATGAAAATTATAGATCTCGACAAGATCTACAACTTTCTAGTTTTAAATTTTTCAGTTGAAGTCATTAAGACGCTAAAAAAAATTAATGACATATTTAGACTTAAGTGTATTTTCCACTTTTTACACCTATAGTTTAATAGCGTTAGAGCCCAAACTGACGGCAGTGGCATGAAGGGCATAAAAAAGTGGAGCAGTGACTCTGAAGACCGTTGAACTTTTTCAGGGACTCACATGACATTGCGATATTTTTTAATGGACACAGGGAATTCTCCCATTATTGTTCTCTTGCGGTTGCGGTGCAGCCCGAGCGCGCTGGCCACTCGTTCGCGACTCGCGAGCCTCACTGCCTGCTGCTGCTCGCCAAGGCGCTTGCTGGCCATGCCCGGAGCCGTTGCGCTTGCGCCCACGCTCGCGTCGGCGAGCAGCTCCGCGTCCGCGTCCACGTCCGCGGCCTTGGCCTTCACGCTGGCTCCGAATCCGACAAGCCGAGGCGACCCGCTTTTAACTAGCAGGTCGTGCCGCAATGCTACTCCACTTGTTCCACTAGCAGCAGCAACCCGTCGTCACGTGCGCGGCTGCCGGGGCGCGCCTCTAGTCGCCAGTACCCCCCACGCTCGAAACCCTCGCCTCCGATTCGCGTCTTCGGCAGCGGCGGCGGCGGAGGGGATGGCTGCGGAGGTGAGCACGGCGGATGCGGCGTCGGCAGCCGAGGCGAAGCCCTTCGCTGTCCTCTTCGTGTGCCTCGGTCAGTCCCCTCAACCCTAGTCTCTGCTCACCTCCGGCTCCGTCTCCGTACATGTGCATGCCAAACAATTCGGGTACCAATTCCCGGTTTTCCTTGCGTCCGTGCGTATTGAACTCACTCGTTGTTGTGTCGTCTGATGGCCTTCGGGTATTCCTTGGAATCTGATCGAAAATAGCCGGTAGCCATAGCCTTGTATTCCCATCTTAGCACCACAGCTACTATTCTCACAATTTATCGGCTGAAGGTTTGGAGATTTGGCTTGTTGATGAAAAATCAATTTACCCTGCAGCGCGATTAAGAATTTCGGATGACTTGATCCTAGCAATCTAATGCTTAGCGATTGTGCGTATTGATTATTCAACTATGTAGGCGCTACAACTATTTTTTGCATATGCTTGGGTAGTTGGGTGCTTGTTCAGTTGTGGATAATCTCATCAGAATGCCTTGTCCTGGATGATTTCCCGTTACAGTGTGGACCGTGGAGGTATCTGAGTTATCGATGCATTTGTATCTGTCTGTTCTTCAGCGATTTGATGTAAATTATGTGTACAGGAAATATTTGCCGGAGTCCTGCGGCTGAAGCTGTGTTCCGGACCCTCGTAAGCAAGCGTGGGCTTGACTCCAAGTTTCTCATAGACTCTGCTGGTACCATTGGGTATCATGAGGTTGTATCATATGTTTACTGTGCTCTTTTGTATATTTATTCAGATCAATGATGGCATCAGTGCTAACGAGGTTTTTCGTGGGTTTAGGGTAATAAGGCAGACTCAAGGATGAGAGCAGCTTCAACGAAGCGGGGGATTGAGGTCACCTCAATATCCAGGCCTATCAGACCCTCAGATTTTCGTGATTTTGATCTTATCCTTGCAATGGACAGGCAGAACTATGGTTCTCTTTCAGACCCTGTTATTTGTGTTCCAGTATCCCTGTAATTTTATTGTTGTATGCTGCTTGATGCATTGGAGCATTTCTGTTTTGAACAATATGCAGAAGATATATTGAACTCGTTTGAGAGATGGAGACGCAAGGAGCCCCTCCTTGAGAATGCACCCAATAAGGTTAGCGTGTAGATTATTAATCTCAATTTGTCTCGTGCAATCTTGTCCAGCTAGAATTTTTATCCCATATGCATTTTGTCATTTCAATTTTCTAGACATGTCCTTTTCCCTTTATAGCAGAAACAAGAGTGAGCCATGTGAACTGATGTGGATACTAAATTGACCATCTATTTTACTTTCTTTGCTTATGTTTTACTGTCTGTAGACTGGTATAGTGTAGCCTTCTTCATGTATTTTAACATTACAATAGGTGAAAACTATGATACCTGCAAAGAGTAAATTGTGATTGTATTTTTTTGTCAGTTGTTCACTTAATTAAAAGAGCATATCTTGTATCTTATGCTTGACCTTATGTTGCATTTATTCTTGCCGTTAGCCTTTTTATGTAGGGAAATTACTAATCTAATATTGATACTTTTTGTCAACTTAAGGTATGTGATGGCATCATTTTTTTATATGTTTTCTTCATTCTTGAAAGTTGACACTGACTGAATTGGTACTCATGTGTTTATTAGGTTAAGCTGATGTGCTCCTACTGCAAACGACATACTGAGTATGAAGTCCCAGATCCTTATTATGGAGGCCCTCAGGGATTTGAAAAGGTTAGTAGCATTATGTACTTGTTAGCACAAAGTTTGCAATCATGTTCTCGATCTTATTAGTTGAGATTTTGTCCCAGTGACCAACGAGTATGAATGCCATGGCCTGTCTCCACTAATCACTCGGTTTTTGTTCCTGTCCAATTAAAATAGTTTGTGCATGAGTGTGGCATACCTTTAACTATATAAATAAACAATTATGTAGACTGTAGTGACTGATGACCTGAGATATGCTCAGTTCCACCAATGCCAAGTATTTGTGCACTAGTGTGAACTTTACATGACTTGTATAATCATTACATGCCAGCATTCACTTATATAGTTATCGACTATGATTATACCTCTGAGATTTAAGCAATTTGTCTTCTTCTGATACAAATTGTCAAATCAGGTCTGGGCACAACTACATTATGCCCAGGAGTTTGCATGAGCAACTAACATGAGATACAATAAGTCAGTAACAAACTAGTATGGCACTAACAAACCTCAGAAAATGAAAATGTCTACAACCCTAGATACATTTGTTGACAAGCTGATACTCGATCACCAATCCACAGCTATGCTGAGGCCTGAGATATAACCTTACTAAGCCCCTTGGATGTAACAATCATTTTGCCATAATATTGGCTATAGTCATGCATTATGTCTACAAATTTGCTGACCATACTTACACAAGATCTACATGAGATGCGCAGCTGTGTTTGATATCCTTCTTTTAATAAGTGATGTTTTGGGGCTTTCAGGTGTTGGATATATTGGAAGATGCTTGCGAGTCCCTGCTTGATAGTATCGTTGCAGACAATGCAAGCATTTCTGGGTGACCTCGATGTAAATCTCTACATTCAGACATCTTTTTTTCAGACACACCAAAGGCTGTAGCATCCATGCAGAACTGGAGTATTTGGTTGCAACATTGATCGTGTATTCATGTACCTAGGTCTTGGTTTGGTTTGTATATACCACTACCACCATCCTTGGTCATGTGATAAGTGACACACAAAAACTTGCTTATGCCCATTTGAAACGATCAGAATGACCAACAAAGCATGCTTATGCCCATTTGAAACGTACTCCCTCTGTCCCTTTGTCGCTTTTGGTTTTCATGCCCCAAGTTTGACTCGATTTGTAGGAAATATGTGTAACATTTGTATCTTCAAATAAATTTATTAAAAAACTAGATTTAAAGATCTTTCCAATAATATCAATTATGTATCATAAATATTAATATTTTTAATATATATTTTGTTAAAGTTGTTTTTCGGAAAACGAAAACGATAGATATTTTGAGATGGAGGGAGTACTTTTTTTTTTTGCATAAAACTGTATGAACATTTCTTCCCTTTGTTTGAACTTTGCACTGCTTTTCTTTATACCCACTGTTACACTTAGATCACCAATCATCATCAATCTAAAGGAGCAAAAGACTGCAACTGCAACCATCAATCTTCACCGGGCGACTGCGGCCACCATCAATCGTCACCGGCGGTAGCACTGCACATGCAAGAAGAAGCCACCTGGCGATTGCCCCCTGGCCGCCGTGTCGTCGGCCATCCACAGCCTGCCCTCCTTCTCCGCCCTGGCCTTCACCATGAACTGCGCCCCCGAGCCCGCGCTGCCGCCCCGGCCACCGAACCACCAGTCGTGCACGTCCCACATGACGTCGACCACCTCCCCGTCGGCCAGCACGGCGGCGCGGTTGCCGCGGAACCCCCAGCCCACCCGCCGCACCTCAGCCACCTTCTTGCCGTCGATGGTGACCCGCAGCTCCCCCTCGCCCCCGCCCCGGCACGCGTGCACGGCCACCTCGTGCTCGTCCCCGCCCTCCCGGAATCTGCAGCGCGTGACGTGCGCCGCCGCCGCGCACCGCAGCTGCTCGCGCCGGCTGACGAGGAGCGCGGCGCGCGCGCCGCCCGGGGCGAGGCTGAGGCGGCGGGAGAGCTCGCGCGCCGCGCCGCCGGAGCCGAGGAGGAGCGCGAGCTCGGCGTCGGCCACGACGGCGAGGCAGTAGTCGCGTTCGGGCTCCGGGGACGACGACCCCGAGGCGTACTTGGCCTCCGCGGTGTCCCAGTGCACGCCGACGGCCGTCCCGGTGCCCGTGACCAGCGACCGGCTCCCTCGCCTCTTGTGCAGCAGCAGGACAGGCCTTGTCCTCGCCGGCGGCGGCGACGGCTTCGGCGCGTCGGAGGAGTTGGCGCCGCCATCGTCGAAGGCGACCGCGACGCCGGGCGCTCCGGCCGCGCTCCGGGTCCACGTCACCCGGACGAGCATCTCCTTGCCCGAGGACAGCACCGCCCTGTACACGCTGCTGGTGGCCGCCAGCAGCGCCCGGTCGAGCGCGCCGCGGCCGGAGACGGAGGCGGCCGCAGCCGCGACGCTCACGGAGCCGTCGCCGAAGCAGGACAGCTCCCTCATTGCTCGCCGCCGCCGCCGCCGCTTGATTCGGACAACAGGAGAGCAATGTCGTCGCCGAGCAAAGCAGCGCGAATCTACGGCGAATGCATTGCAGGGAGGCGAGGAGAGGAGGCCGGCGTTTTAATCGGCCGGTGTGTCGTTGGCTGAGCTTGCAAAGAGGTGGCAGTCAGAGAGATTAATTAACGGCAGAACCACCCGCCGGTATCTTCAGGTTTGGTCAAATAAGGAATTTGTTAGTTAAACTGTCTGGTAATTTGACCAAACTATATTTTATTTTCAGCTGTCGTGTTGTAGGCCGTCGCAAATTCCTTGATACTCGCTACCGGAGTGATCTTGGCAGCTGACAGAGCGACCATATCATATTCCGGCCCGACGTGCTTGACGCCCTAACTCCTAACCTATAATCATGTCTTTTTATTGACCCCTTGATTTTATTTTATTTCTGTCCCACCATCTAATTGTTTTCCATTATTGTGAGGGAAATGTGTGTTTGGGCGTTCGGCTGGCAAGGAAGATACTGGTCGACCAAATCGACGCCACAGCACAATGTGCGATGCACGAACAGATATCTTGTCCACGACACTCGACACATGCACGTTCCATGAGCTAAGCAATGGTTGGAACACACCAGACATTATCTTTGCTGAGGTGGTTGGAAAATAAATAGAGTGCCGTGTTAGCATTTTTAACAGAAACGCTCTAATTCGAGCGCCTGACGTCTGTCAACCCACTCTTTACGCCAGCCGCCCTCTACGCCACCGTCGCCCATGCCGCCCTCACCCTACCCTCTGTATGCCGCCGCCGAGAACCGTGCTGCCGGCAAGCTCCGTGCTGCCGGCGAGCGGACCAGTGACCCCCATGCGCCACGCACCCACCATTTGCGCGCACCGCCACACGTGTCACCCCCTACACCTGCCCTCTGCACCGCCGCCCAGCTCCGCGTTGCCGGCGAGTTCCCGCGCCGCCGGTGAGCACAACTGTGACCACGTGCCGACGAGCCTCCGTTCACCAAAGAAGCAAGGGGATGGTTGCGCTGAAATAACATGTTGCAAACGTATGTTTCAAGTGTTTCAGAGGTATGCTATCGATGTTGCAAAAGTAGATTGAAATGTTGCACATGTTGCAATTGCTATACACCTATATTTCAAGTGTATGTTCCCAATATTTCATTTGTATTAGACGTATATTGCAAGTGTTTTCAGCTGTATGTTGCAAAAGTAGATCTGAATGTTGTATATATATGAATGGTGCAAGCGTATGTTAAGTGTTTTTAAATGTTTTATACGTTCGTTGCAAGTATTTCATCTGGATGTTGCGTATGTTTGTAATGGTGTTTCAAGTATTTTTCGGGTGTGTTTACAAGTGTTTCAGATATATGTTGCAAGTGTTTCAGCTTTTTTCGGACGTATGTTACAAGTGTTTCACCTTGGTGTTGCAAAAATAGATATAGTGTTGCACATGTTGCAATAGGACCCACATGTCGCGGCCACCTGCTAGGTGATGTCCAGGTGGCACGGGCCCACTGCTGGGGTGCCGCCTGAGCGGGCACAGAGCAACCAAGCGCAGGCGTCCTTTTCATGCGCGCGTGGCACCGTCCGATGCTAGCGCCGCGGATCGGACGTTCAGGTGCTAGCAAGTTTTTTTTAAGATGTAGCACAGATTCAATGAAAAACTCTAAACTACGTGACCTGCTTCATCCATCAATTAACCAAATACTTTGTTACTTATAACAGTGAAATGCTCGCTGGGACGGCTTTAGGCTATCTCCAACAACACCACCTAAAATACCAGACCCATTCGTCCTTTGGGTAGCGCTACAGTAAAATATTCAATACCTATTCGATATCTTCTTCAACAACAAGACCGAAAAGAGAATCTTTTCTGCAAATGAGTTTACAGGAGAGATGATGCTAATATTTGAGTTGTGTCTCTCAGGCAACCCAAAATAGGTATTCCGTATAGGTACTCTGTTAGAGACTAATTTTAGATCTCTTACTATTTATTTTGAGTTTAGGTATCCATATAGATTTTTGTCGGAGACCGTCTTGGTCACACCAAAATGTTCTGAAAAGCTCGTACATGGTTGGGTACGTGGCCTTTCCGCAACAGAATATCACATCTTCAATGCAGCCCGGCTGCTATCGTTTTGTGTAGCAACAACTCCTATATACCTATACGAAAGTGTTTTCACAACATCACCCTCCCAGTCCCAGGCTTCGGTCGCGATTATTCTCCACGACCCAAAATGGCCATGATGACTGCCGGATGGACCGATGGAGAACTCGCGACCGAAAACGAGTCATGTCATGAAGGCGGTCGCCGGTGGGCGTAGTCTTTGTCTTTCTGTCAAGATGTTTTGTAAGGTTGCGTTCGGTTTGAGACAAGGAGAGACTGAACGAATTCATCCTTTTTTATATATGAAATGATCCCATCTTCCTTATTCTGTGGCCTCGTTTACGTGCCCTTAAATCTGGTTTCGAAACAGTATTACTCCAAATCATCCAAATTCGTACAGAATTCAGAGAAGGGAACAGCCCCACAGGTCCGTCCGCCACCGTCCCTGGCCGTAGCCGCCTCGTCTGCCGTCGTTCTCGTTCGGCAGCTTGCAGCTACCCGTGACACCCGTCGCAAACCGTCCGCCCGCCAGGTCCAAGGTCAAGGCGGGGTGGAGCTCACCGGATCGCGCCAGGGCAGCGCTCGTGCCGGGGGCTGAGGCCGTCCACCCCGCCAGAGCGCTCACAGCCGAAAGAAAGAAGACGAAGGCGTGGACGAAGGAAGAAGCAACCGAATAGGATTAGATCTATGGTTAAAAACAAATCCTAGTCACTAATCCGTGGGTAGGATCCGTGGCTTCGATGAGTGTGGATGTGATCACCATTCTTCTATTGGTCCATTCCCTTCTTAACAAGAACGATTCAGATTCATAGCATTCATTTCTGTGCCCCCGACGAAAAGGATGTTGTGATTTTGAACATGGAATCTGATGCCCAGAAAACTGCTCAAGGTTATGCATGTCATGCCGTTGCCTGGGGACAAGCAATGTTTTGTAGGGTGGAAACGGTAACCAATTATGAAGAGTAAAGCGTCAAGTCTAAGTGCTTTAGCTGACAGGTGAGCCAACCAACCATGAGACCCAGGTGGAAGATCAGATGGTGTGTCGTCCCAAAAGTCAGAAAAGCAAAACACAGGCCATCTCTGATTTCTTCCTGTTGCTACTTGCTACTCACGTCCCTGGGTTGAGCTCACCAGCAGCCATGGGTACGACAAGTTACTAAAATGAGCAAGCATCCTTGGCTAGATGTGACTCAGAGCAGAAAGTCCCTAACCATTACTCACTCCATATCAAATTGTAATTCTTTTTGGCTTTCCTAGATATACATAGTGTTTTTTTACTATGATCTAGAGATAGCATATATCTTGGTGCATAGTAAATTCTACTTCAATTTGGAACTTGAGCGGGTACTTTTTCTGCCATTGAAGCTGCCAATCCAAAACTGCAAGTGACTAACACAAAAGTTCTATTTTGTCTGGCTTCAGTGGATCAGATCGATACTAGTGTCAGGCTCGTCCGCTATCTTGTTAAACGAAATACTGGGTAAGAAATTCAACTGCAGGAGGGGCGTACGCCAAGGCGACTCTTTATCACCGTTGCTATTTGTCCTGGCAGCCGAGCTGCTCTAGGTCATCATTAACAGGGCCTCCTCCTTGGGCCTCCTGAGAAGACCGATCCCGCAACCAGACGAAGACTTCCCAATAGTTCAGTACGTAGACGATACCTTGCTGATTATGGAAGCGGATGCTCGTCAGTTATACTTCCTAAAAGGTATTCTTCACTCCTTTTCGGAGTCAACAGGTCTCAGAGTAAATTACCGTAAAGTCCTAGATCATTCCCATCAATGTAGTACATGAGAAGATGGAAATCTTAGCCAATACTTTTGGTTGTCAGATCGGCACCACGAGGCCAAGATTCTAGGACCTCACTTGTAAAACCCTCGGTGTTACACAGTAAATCACTTCCTAAAATATGTCATGAGCATCATACTTAAGTGATATTGCATGTGGTGTGATGAATAGATAAAGCATTGTAACGTAAATGAGTCGTAAAGACGTAAAACGAAAAGTTAATTTGCGATTTATAAAGTTATCAAGTAGGGATGTAAACTAATTTTTATTGAATAAAAATGCTATAAAACATATATGTGCACCTTAATAAAGTTTAAAATGTGAGATTTGTAGATGACAATAAATACTTGGTGTTGAGAGATAATGTTGTTGAGTACAATATTCGATAGCTTAAAAGTGCAACTAGAAATATAAATCCATTTAACATTTAGAAAATTTCATGAACTTTTGGAAGGTTAAGCATGGTGATGTTTAGCAATTTTTGTAGAGAAATTATGTTAAGAAGTAGGGTAGTATTATGGCTTGTTTTAGTAGCCTAATATACCCTCTAAGGTATAGCAAAAGTGGTTTGGGGATTGAATCAACGGTTTAGACCTCCCGAACGCTTTAAAATCCGTGCATAACATGAACTTGGGCCGTCTTCTCATGTTGGGCGCGGTCACCAGACCTTCCATCCCCGATGTTGCGGCGTCGGTGCGCTGGGCACGCACGCACGTGGCCACGCGGGCGTGTTGCTGCTGCCACAGCCTGGCCGCGGTGGGCACGCCGCTAGCTGCCAACCGCGAGCCGCCACGTCCGCCGCTCACCTGCACCTAACCGTCCTACCGCCGTGCCACGCTGCTGCCGCTGCCGTCACGTCGCCGCTGCTGTGCACACCGCCCTCCTCGGGTCCCGCTGCCTCATCGTCATCCCGCTCGTGGTGTTGCAGCAGCACATGGCCGAGCCTGTAACCGCAGCAATGTGCACATTCTACCCTGGTGCCGCGTTGTCCAGTAGCGCCGCTGCGACACCCACACACGTGCGTGTCCTCGCTAGCGACCAGTCGCTCCCCGTGGCGATGTAGAGTTTCCACGCGTTGCTGGCCTCGCTTTGCGCCA